AGAGTCTCACAGACTTTCCTGCTCAAGCTGGCTCAGACCTCAGACTCCTGAGTAGCTAGGATTACAGGCATGAGCTACTAGAATCTGCTCAAAAAGTCTATTTTTAACCAGGTCACTGTATCATACCAAAGCACTCTATAAAATAATTTTTAAGTTACTTACCATTGAATAAAACTAATGTAAAAAAAAATGAGTGTCTTACCTACACAAAATATTTAGTATAAGATATGTGAAGGAAAAACCGGGTGCCAGTGGCTCACGCCTATAATCCCAGCTACTCAGGAGGCTGAGATCTGAGGATCACGGCTCAAAGCCAGCCTGGGCAGAAAAGTCCTTGAGACTCTTACCTCTGATATACCACTAGAAAACCAGAAGTCGAGCTGTGGCTCAAGTGTTACAGTGATCACCTTGAGCTGAATAGCTCAGAGAGTGCACCCAAGACCAGACTTCAAGCCCCACAACCAACACAAAAAAAAACAAAGATATGTGAAGGAATATTAAAATGGACTTTTATGAACAGGTACTTTGATATAGAGAAATAGATTCATTAATGCCTATTATTCAACAAATAATAATTGTATGTCCATGTGAAGCACTGTAAAGACCATTAAATTGCTACTATCATTCAAACTGGGCTAAATAAGTTTGGGTATAACCAAGGAAAAAGTTCAAAATTTAGCTGCCATTTTCCAAGTATTTCAACTTATTTGAATAATTATGTCCCCATTGTAGAAGAAAGACATTACATTGAAAAGCAGCATATCACACAATAAATTTAATATAAATCAACGCTCACTTATACGCATGTGATCACTATGGCCCTGGTCAATAATTTCAGATTTTTTTTTGTCAGTCTGGGCCTGGGCACTGTCCCTCAGTCCTTTAGCTCAAGGCTAGTGCTCTACCATTTGAGCCACAACACCATTTCCAGCTTTTTCTGTTTATGTGGTGCTGAGGAATTGAACCCAGGGCCTCATGCATGCAAAGCAAGCACTCTACCAGTGAGCCACCTTCCCAGCCTGTAATTTCAGTTTTTGTTTTGTTTTGGTTTGATTTTTTGGGGGGGTCCGGTCGTGGGGCCTGAATTCTGGGCCTGGGTGCTGCCCCTCAGCTCTTCAGCTCAAGGCTAGCATTCTACCACTTGAGCCACAGCGCCACTTCCGGCTTTTTTCTTTTTGCTTATGTAGTGCTGAGGAGTCGAACCGAGCCTCATGCATGCAAAGCAAGCACTCTACCACTGAGCCACCTTCCCAGCCTATAATTTCAGAATTTTTTTTTAACAAGATTCTTTTTTTTTTTTTGCCAGTCATGGTGCCTGAACTCTGGGCCTGGGCACTGTCCCTCAGCTCTTCAGCTCAAGGCTAGTGCTCTACCACTTGAGCCACAGCACCACTTCCAGCTTTTTCTGCTTATGTGGTGCTGAGGAATCGAACCCAGGGCCTCATGAATGCAAGGCAAGCACTCTACCACTGAGCTACCTTCCCAGCCCCTAATTTCAGAATTTTTATCTTGAGTAAAATGCAAAGTTAGAAGCCAACAAGCCTCCTAACTACCTTGGGATTCTACTTGCTCTTTTGATGACTATAAGCTGTTATAGGTAGATGAATCATGTTACTTACTTTCGTAACTTCCAAGAAGGATGAGTGGTATATTTTGCTGGGTGAACAGTACTAACACAGACTTAAACCTAGAAAATCAAAGTTTTGCCTTGTTTTAAAGTTACTAGGTCTGGCAGTGCAGCTCCAGTGATAGAACACTTGTCTGCTGAATATGAGGCCCTGAGTTTAAACCCCAGTATCCCATACATGCACAAATGTCACAAGGAGTAATCCTAAGCTGGACCTCATAACCTTTCAGAAAGAATTTCTGTGTGAGGGCTGGGAATATGGCTTAGTGGTAGAGTGCTTGCCTAGCATGCATGAAGCTCTGGGTTTGATTCCTCAGTAGCACATAAACAGAAAAAGCCCGAAGTGGCGCTGTGGCTCAAGTGGTAGAGGGCTACCATTGAGTACAGAGAGGCTCAAGGACAGTGCCTAGGCCCTGAGTTCAAGTTCCAGGGCCAGCAAAAAAAAAAAAAAAAGAATTTCTATGTGGCATTTAATGGTGCTGTGGCTCAAGTGGTACAGCACTAGCCTTGAGCTGAAGAGCTCAGGGACAGCGCCCAAGCTGAGTTCAAGGCCCATGACCAATAACAAAGCTTTGGATGCCAAAGTGATATGTAAAGGCTTTTCCATCCTAATATTTTATGTTTGAAGATGAATTTTAATATAAAACTAAATATTAAATGATATCAGGGAATTGTTCATTGTAAGGATGATGCTATGATTACACAGAATAGACTTAACTTTAGAAAATACACATAGCTGTATTTAGGGGTTATATTGTCATGATATCTTTACCTTGTGTTCAATATACATATACACACAATAAAAGCTGATCGTGGGTATAATATGTGTCCACTATTCTTTTAGTTTTATATGTATATATATATTTTTTTTTGGGGGGGGGGGTCTGGTCGTGGAGCCTGAACTCTGGGCCTGGGCGCTGTCCCTCAGCTCTTCAGCTCAAGGCTAGCACTCTACCACTTGAGCCACAGTGCCACTTCCGGCTTTTTTCTTTTTGCTTATGTGGTGCCGAGGAATCGAACCCAGGGCCTCAGGCATGAAAGGCAAGCGCTCTACCACTGAGCCACCTTCCCAGCCCCTCTTTTAGTTATATATATATTTGAAATTTCTCATAGTGAGATGTTGGAAGGAAAAGGCTCTGAGAAAATATTTGTGTTTACAGGTGAGACAGACAGTATTACAGTTTTAAATACAACTGAAGAGAACTATGACCAAGAAGATGTCAAGGTTTTAGTGAGTACTAAAAATAATCTGTCTTTGGGAGCTTTTTTTCCTAAGGAAAAAGAAAATTCCTCTTTTGGGGCTTTTTTCCTAAAAAATATTCCTCTTTTGGAGTTTTCCTAAGAAAAAGAGGAAGTTATTCCTTTTTGGAACTTTTTTCTTTATTTTTTTTATTGTGAAAGAGTACATTTACTGTTGCCTCCTCCTTTGTTTCCCCTTCCCATCTCTCCCCCCTCCCCCCCCCACCCCGCCCCTTCCCTGAAGCTTTTTTTCTAAGGGGAGAAGAAAAAAATCCTCTTTTGAAGCTTTTATCCTAAGAAAAAATTAGACTTGAAATAATATTAAATCACAATTGCTTAAAACTGCTGTTTTTGACCCATTCTGAATGTGTAATTATAAATTAGGCTGCACTGGTACATTCAATATAGAGTTAAAACAATCATCAAAATAATCATGAGTGTAATGGGCAAGGAAGTGCACACCTATAATCTCAGCACTTGGGAGGCTGACACACACGAAATTCTAGTCCAAGGCCAGTTGTGGCTAATAATAATAGTATTACAGGCTCCTGTGTTACTAGTTACTCAGGAGGCTGAGATATGAGGATTGCAGCTGGAAGCTAGCAGGGGCAGGAAAGTCTTGTGAGTTTTTTTTTTTTTTTTTTGGGTCCGGTCGTGGGGCCTGAACTCTGGGCCTGGGCGCTGTCCCTCAGCAATTCAGCTCAAGGCGAGCACTCTACCACTTGAGCCACAGTGCCACTTCCGGCTTTTTTCTTTTTGCTTATGTGGTGCTGAGGAATCGAACCCAGGGCCTCATGCATGCAAGGCAAGCTCTCTACCACTGAACCACCTTCCCCTTGTGAGATTGTTATCTCCAATTAACTATCAAAAAGGGGGGGGGGGGGGAGACCAGAAGTGGAGCTGTGGCAAAAGTGGTAGAGTGCTAGACTTCAGAGAGAGGAAAAAAAAATAAACAAAAGGTCACAGCACCCAAACCCTATGTTCAAACCCCAGAACTGACTGACATACACACACACACACACACACACCACACCACACCAACAAAAACTAGTATAGGTGTCTACTCATCTATACTGCTGCAATAACTAAGTGCAGAAATATTTTAAAAATACCTATACTGTAACTGTGAAACATGTACCATTTCAAGCAGACAGAACTGGAAGTTGATCTGGAAAATGTTCCCTGTTTGAAAAGCAGAGGTTCACCCCTTCCCACCCTACCCCAACTCCTATTGACTTCAATTTTCCTCTATCTCGAAAGCAGCTAACGAGTTGGTGCGAAGGGATGCTTCTGCTTTAAAAGCGGTCTTGACATGAGCTACCTTAATTGGATTCCCAAGGGCAATAAAATTCAATTTCTAATTCGTTGGGGGAACTGAATTAAGAATTGAGGCGCCTCAATGGGTGCATGCATACGGAGTTCAGGATGTCCCTTCATTTTATTTTTGCAAATACTGACAGGATTGTCACAATAATCCAGGTGTTGTGGACTGTGTGTGTGTGTGTGTGTGTGTGTGTGTGTGTGTGTGTGGTTGAAAAGAAAATCTGCAAACATCCCAGGGACCCACCACAGCAACGTGCGGCCTAATGGAGGAAGTAACTACCTGCTCCCTGGGACCGGCGTGCCAGCCTTTCCCCCCCGGAAGGCTTCGGGTCCTATGCTGCCCATTATGTTCACCAGAAGGAAGAAAGTTCCAGAGTGTAGAGCTTCTGGCGCGAGCTCAAGATTGTTCGAGACCCTCAGACGCGACGCGCACCACCATCATCATCATCGCCGCCGCCGCCGCCGCCGCCACAGGCCCCAGTTGCTACGTCTGGTTGCTAAGGCACCAACCGCCCCACCGGAAGTGGCGGTAAGTGTAAGGGAGGGGGGGTGTGTGTGCACTTCCCTTTTCACGCCGTCGCGAATCTTCCGGCGGTGGAGCTTATTCGTTCCGGGTGGAAACTTCAGCTCTTCATTTTAAGAGCGTCGGGGACGCAGCGGAGGGGGGTGGGTGGGTGGGGAAGGGTGGGGGGAAAGGCCAAGAGAGAGAGAGAGAGCGGAGAGAGAGCGAGCGGAAAGCGAGAACGAGGGAGAGAGGGGAGAGAAGTGGGGAGTGACGCTGCTTCGGGGCCGCGGGGCATTGTGGGAGAAGCTGTCTCCGATTTCTCCTCCCTCCCCGCCCCCCCTCCGCCCCTCGGGCTCGGCTCCTCTCCTCCCCTCCCCCTCCCAGCCAAGATGTCTGACATGGAGGATGATTTCATGTGCGACGACGAGGAGGACTACGACCTGGTGAGGCGCCGGGAGCGGGGCTCTGGGGTCGGAGATGGGGTCTGGGGGTCGGGGCCGAGGCCGTGGCTGCTGTGGCTTCCTCTCGTCGAGCATGGGTCCCTTTCCCCCTTCCCCCTCTCGGCGTGCAGTGACAGGACGGGTTTACCTCCTCCTCCTCCTCCTCCTCCTCCTCCTCCCCACGCCGGGCCCTGCGTCTCCATCGTGGGGGGCGGGGAGGGGCAAGGAGGGAGCACAAATCGTAAAGGGGAGTTGGGGAGGTCGGGCCCTGGGGGGGCGGTGGGGGGGGTGGAGGATCCCAGGCCGGGCTCTCCACGTCTGAGCGCGTCGTGGGGTTACACGGACGCCCCTGAACCTTCGGGTTAGGTCGGGTTCTCCAATGCCTCCCTTCCTCCTCCTCCTCCCCCCTTTTCTTCACTCTTCCTTCCCCTGCCCTCCTCCTCCTCTCCCCCCTCCCTCCCTCCCTCCTTCCCCTCCAACGCGCGAGCTGCCTCGAGGGCCGTGCAGGGGGGGGGGGGGGGGAGATCTTTAGGCCCTGGCTGGCTTTCCTCTTTCACGGGGCCCAGTTAGTTTTCTGGGCTCCCCCCCCCCCGATGATTAAGAGTAAAAGCGGGTGCAGAATTCTGGGAGTGTTGTTGGTTTTTTTTATTTTGGGGGGGGGGTTGGAGGGGGAATAGGGGAAATGGAAGAGGAGGAGGGAGGGGGAGGGGAGGTGGTGGATACTGCCTCCCTTCCCACCCCCACCCCCCCCCCCCCCCAGGCCTGACTGGGAAAGGCTGCCCGGTGCGTCTCCTGGAAACAGCTTGCTTCGCCTAGTTGTGTGCAGGCTGGATTTGGGTGGGAAGCAAAGGTGCAATGGAGAGTTGAGAGCAGAAAGAAGAAAAAGAAAGCTGGGGGACTGGGGGGGGGGGGGGACATGGGGGGCAGGCAGGGAGGGAGAGAAACTAGTTGAACTACTTGTTTGGTTCTTTAAGAGAAAAAGCTGGTTAGGGGGATTTGGTTTTCTGCTATTGTTGATGGTGGGTTTTTTTTTTTGTTTTTGGCGTGGGTGGGGATGAAACCAAGGAGTGTTTGTGTTTCGTTGTATTTTTGTTTTTGGAAAGGTATGGATTAAACGAATGGCTTTTTTTTCCTCCTTGATTTAAGAAAATTCCTCAGTTGTAGAAGCTTTAAGATCTCAACAACATAAAAGGAATATTTATTTGGTTGGTGATTTTTTTTTTTCCTCTTCCAAGATTCAGGTTTTGTGAATTAATTCACAGGTTTTAAAACAAATTTAGCCGATGGTCAGATTGTTACGCACACACCCTACTGTGTGGGAACTAAAAAAAAAAAAGACCCCAAAAATTAGCATCAGTTTTCTATTAGGGGTATTTTGTTTGGGTCTTACATATTATGGAGATTCTCCATTAGGATAAAGTTGTGAAGTAGATGCTTTGGGAAGTCTGGCTCATTTTATTTTATTTTATTTTTTTAAGAAATGTTATCAAGATACTGTTTTGAGTTAATGAATGGCTTCTTAGTATAGAGGAATAATATTTCCAGTTCATCTTTTTAAGTTTTTTAAAAAAGCATATTTTGTGAAAGAGGAAAAGTGCTATTATTGGAAAGTCAAAGAAGAGGTTTTGGTGAGTCTCTTAAGTTACTTTCTTTAATAGTTTCTGCAGAAACCAAACTAATTGTAGGCTGTGTCCTCAGTTCATTAAGAATGTATTAACTTGTACTACCTATTAAGTTTTATTTATTATATTTTACTTATACTACCAATTTTTTTTTAAGTTTACAAGTGTTTTTAAGTGCTTTTGTACTATTAGTTTTTGTTTTTTGTTTTTGCCGGTCGTGGTGCTTGAACTCTGGGCCTGGGCCCTGTCCCTCACCTCTTCAGCTCAAGGCTAGCGCTCTACCACTAGAGCAACAGCACCAATTCCCGCTTTTTCTGCATATGTAGTGCTGAGGAATCGAACCCAGCGCCTCATGCATGTGAGGCAAGCACTCTACCACTGAGCCACCTTCTCAGCCTGTATTAGTTTCTTTTTTAAGTATTTCTACTCCTCTCTTAACTACTGATCTATTAAACACATGGGTTATTAGCACTATGATTAGCTTGAAGATGCTAACTGAAAATATAATGTAGAAATATCAATAGAAATCTTATTGTGCTCTTCATTTTTGCAAAAATTTTAAACATCATGCTAAACATAATGGAGTTAAATATGTATTTAACTTTTTTCAAAAAATTTCTCAACAGCAGAAAAGATTTTGCACTGCTACAAAATTAAGTGAAATCTTCTCCCTTTTTATTTTTCAACTATTTGTTTAAATAATTCTCTCCCTTATTTGACTCTCACATTTTGGCTTCCCAATCATATATCAAATAATGGAAACTGTCACACTCCATCTAACAGTTGAAAGTTAGGGTGATAAAAAATATTTTTAATAATTTCTTTTTTTTGGGGGGGGGTCTGGTCGTGGGGTCTGAACTCTGGGCCTGGGCGCTGTCCCTCAGCTCTTCAGCTCAAGGCTAATGCTTTACCACTTGAGCCAGAGTGCCACTTCCTGGATTATTTTTAAAAGATGAAGGGAGGTAGTTGTCATTTCATGCTTCCATACTGCTAGAAGAGTTTCCTATGCCAGGTGCCAGTGGTTCACACTTGTAATTATTGCCATTTAGGAGGCTGAGATCTGGAGGATCTTTGTTTGAAGCAAGCTTGGGCAGAAAACCCTTTCAGACTTGATCCCTAAAATAACCAGCAAAATGCTGAGCTGTCATGTGTGTACATGTGTATTCATGTGTATGTGTGTGTGGTGTATGTCTATACCTGATTTTTTTTTTTTTTTTTGGTCAGTCATGAGGCTTGAACTCTGGCCTTGGGCGCTGTCCCTGTGCTCTTCAGCTCAAGGCAAGCGCCCTACTGCTTGAGCCACAGTGCCACTTCCGGTTTTCTAGTGGTTTATTGGAGGTAAGAGTCTCACGGAGTTTCCTGCCCAGGCTGGCTTTGAACCAAGATCCTCAGATCTCAGCCTCCTGAGTAGCTAGGATTACAGGTGTGAGCTACCTGCGCCCGGCTATATACCTGATTTTTTTTTTTTTTTTGGTCGGTGGTGGGACTTGAACTCTGGGCCTGGTAAAAAAAAATTTATACCTGCTGTTGAACAAAGGGTTTTGCTGGGCTTTCTTGCTCATGGCTGGCACTCTACCAGAGTCACCCCTCTTCTCAAGCATTTTCTGGCCAATCGGAGATTAGCTTTTTCCTCCCAAGTTGCTTCAAACCTCCATCCTCAGATCTTAACTTCTGAGTAGTTAGGTTTATAGGCACGAGCCAGTGATGCTTTTCAGAGCATACGTTGTCTACCAATACATAAATTGTATGACTGTACCATGTTTTATCTGGTTCTCTGGTGATAAGAACTTGGCCCATTCTCTATCTTTTACTATTATAAATGAAGTACAGCTTAAAAAAATCTTCAGCTACAAACAGGTTTTGGCCTTTTTCGTAGTTGCAACTGTAGTTGAAAATATATATTGAGTTAGATTTAGTAATTAAGGTGGATAATCAAGCTGTGCAATACACTTTTAGGTTAGAAACACTTGACTCCAATAAAGTTACTTCTCTTGAGAATTTCAGAAATATGACTACAATCCCTGTCAGTATCATTGGAATAATTTTCCTGCTTTAAACTACTGCTTCAAAGAAAAATGTGGTTCAGTAAGTTTAGTGAGTTATCACAAAGCCTGTTGCATTGTATCCTAAATGTGACTTCTGTAATGAAATTAAAAAGATTCAGACAAGGATAGCTAAAAGTAAATAATGGGAAACAGCTCTTATATGTTAATAAATTAAGTTATCAATTTAATCAGTGAGTTAGTCTAATTCTCATTTAATTTTAAGCATGCAAACAAGCTTAAGTAATAAGCAATATTTTTTCATAGTAACTTCAATTTAGGTTTGAGTAACTTCTTTTTTTTGGGGGGGAGGGGTCTGGCTGTGGAGCCTGAACTCTGGGCCTGGGCGCTGTCCCTCAGCTCTTCGGCTCAAGGCTAGCACTCTACCACCTGAGCCACAGCGCCACTTCCGGCTTTTTTTCTTTTTGCTTATGTGGTGCTGAGGAATCGAACCCAGGACCTCAGGCATGCAAGGCAAGCGCTCTACCACTGAGCCACCTTCCCAACCCTAGGTTTGAGTAACTTCTATAACTTTGAATTATGAATACAACCCAAAGTGAATTTGTGCTTGTCCATTACATTCAAAAATGTGGAGGAGAATAGAAAGGGGTGATAGATCAAGAGGCACTGGGTCACTTAGACAGACATGCTAATTTGCACCCCCCTATACAACCTTTTGAAGTTGAGAAAATAAAAATAAATACACGGGCCTCTGTGGGAATTAGAAGCTTCCTACAGGAAACCCCCAAAACTTGACTGAAAAGGAGCTAAAGCATTGAGCGTAAGGGATGTGCCTAAATGTATGGGATCAATTAATGGGAGAGTCAGAACTTTTATGTCTCTCCTTGAGCAATTTTATTTGAAGACAAAGTAGAGAACAAGTAAGAGATGGTTTTGATTTGTAACACAGATAGCCAATTAAGAATCCTGTCTATATTTAAGAATAACCAGATGTGGCTCTAGTGTGCCTCATATCTGATCAAATGGTCCAGACATGGTCAAGTTCAAGAAAACCTTGTGAATAATGAGTCTTGTTTTCCTAAAACATTTCTTAGGCTTGCATTGGCAAGTTAAGAGTTGAATTATTAAACTGAAAAGTAGGGAAGGTTTTTTTGGAGGGATGGTTGTTGAGCAATTCTTAGCAAAAAGTACAGTTTCCACTAAAGCAGAGATCTTTAAATGAGTAGCACATCTGGGGAGATGAGAATAGATTTGCATAGTGTGGATGGATCACAGATTGCTGTGAGTGGGAGATACTAGGACGTGAGTTACATAAATACCCTGCAACTATTACTGTACTTTAAGGTTTTTACATCTCTTTTACGATGTTCAAGAGCTT